TTTTTAATAACCTGTTGGATACAAACAAGTGACCAGACTCAGATTTCAACCCTCTCCCTTATGCTTGGAAGCATACCTCATGTCTGTGCCATTTGTCTTTATCCAGAGAGCTTGAATTACAAATACAACACTGAACAATTTAAAAAAAAAAATCATTGATTGTTTTTTCTTTAATTCTAAATCATGTAGCATTGACCTGATTGAAAGATATAATGGCCGAACCGTTAAGGCAGGCGTGGCGCAACCTATAGTCATGATATCGGCACTGTTTTGAATGGCATGCTCGCCTATGTTTACGGAGGTAGACCAAGTCTTCTCGGACTATAAACCATCGGTCCAGTGTACACAATTGACTCATGTGCACTCTAAAGAACCCAGTAAATCTTTCGAGATGAGTAGGGGGTTACCCCGTTGTACTGGTCCATATAGCCTCTGTTGTGGACAGATGAGTGTAGCTTGTATCAGTTTACCTGCCAGCTCAGCCACGATAAAACCCTCGGCGAGAAGAAAGTTACTGTACGAGCTACTGTAGTCCACACTTTAAGCGCTCTGATCTTCATGAAATACCGTACTCGCGCGAATAAGCGCACTTCTTGAATAAACGTGAAAATTGTCTTAAGCGCCCCGTTTGAATAAGTGCCTCCCTCAATTTTGAATAAGCGCCCCTCGATTCCTAAAAAATTCAATCATACAGTACAGTACATCACCAACTTAATTTTTCTGCATCAACTATTTCGCATCTATTTTAGCATTGTCGGTCGGTCCATCTGTCGGTCTATCAGTCTCCATTGAGTTTAACATGGTTTTCAGTTTTGATGCATCTTTAGAATCCCATTCTTGTTTTATTGCTACCCTTTTTTTAATTTAAAACTTCAGTATTTAATATCTAAAAAATTAAAATACTGTATGGCCATTTTCAGTCAACAAAAATAAACTGACTTCATTACTTTCGTATCTAAGCAAAAACCCTGCAATGATCCTGCTAGTCTGAATTAGTAGAGATGGCCAACACGCTTACCACCACCACCAACACCACCACTAATTTTATCTGCTGTTGTGTAAATACTCCCAACATTCTTGTCATGAGCCATGCTCTCTCGACGATTACCTTTTCTTCACCATAACCATTCGTTTATCTTTGATTTTAAAAAAAAGTTCCCCTTGAAATTTCCAATTTCCCATAAGCACCCCTTCAATTTTCATCTATTTCCATAAGCGTCCCCTCAATTTCCACTCTGTTTGAATAAGCGCCCCTCAAAAAGAACCAAAAATATTTTAAGCGCCCGGACGCTTATTCGCGCGAGTACGGTAGGGCTCTACAAATGATATTAAATATGTATGTGTATGTATGTATATTATTTCACTTAATCAATATTTAATAACGAATTGACAGTACTCACTGGAAATTGTTGAATTAATTACAGAAATGTCACTTGTAGCAATAAATGAAATTGACTTGAATTAAATGGCTTGGCCTATCTGTATGAACATTAAGCAGTCTTTCTGCTTACTGTGTTTTAAGTTCCGACCAATCAGTACATAATTAAACAATCTTTCTGCTAACTGTTCTTGTTTTAGACCATTCTGTATATACTGTATACTGTCTTACTGCTGATTTTATATGATTCTTCTCATAGTTTTGGCCAATCTGTACGTAAATTTAGCAGTCTTTCTGCTGACTCTTCTTTTAATTTGTACACACCAACATCATGCAATGCAGACCGAGTTGAGATTTGGCTTGTTTGCTCATTCTGGTTATCATGAAGATGCATAAACAATATATCTCGCAGAAGAATTGCTGATCCCGCTTTCAGATTTAGTAG